CAACGTAATGTCTGGCAGCCGAAGATGGGGGAAGATCAAGAAGAAAGGAAGAGTGGGAACACAATGGAATTTGTATGAAACGCATGAATAGTGACAATGGATTGATGTTTTGCAACAGGAACAGTCCAGTTCGATATGATGGACTGATAATTTGCAAATGAACGATTTATGATATGGTTTTCCGATTTTACTGAGTAACTCTGTAATTTTCGTTAAGTGCAATTCGGTTGCCCCACCTGTGTTCTCCTTCACTACAATTTCAATCTCATTCTGTTTGAAGCAGTGTTACTCTCATGTACTATTGAATTCTGATAGGAGAAACGCGCTGATAAATAACTTGCTTTCATGTAAATAGTCTGGTGTGGACATTGAATGGTGATATAAATTAGAAGTGATAGACGAGATTGTATAATATTCTTGCTACGATTCAACTGTCGACACGCATTACTTTTTCTCTTCATTTTTGAGTTCCTCAACATGAATTTCATAAGTGTTGCAATCAATGCATTAATAAGCACCACGATAAATTAAAGATCAGAATTTGTTCTTATTTCATTGTGCAGTTTAGTGAAGAACGTTACTGCTTAAAATATTTCAAACTTTCTATTATCTCCCAATTAATCGCGCGTATCAAGAATGCAGTTTGTTGAGGGACTTTTAAAATTCAAATTAGTATGATTCAACATCCATGATGAGCATTGTTGATTAGTAATAAACCAAACAGTTGTCTTGTTTCATTTATATAATTTCTGTTTATATATATATTTCAATTATTGAAGTTGAATTGGTGAACTAAATTAACACACTTTAATATCAGTTTTGATTGAAGGATATTGAATTTCGCCCAAATACTCTTTTGAGAAAAAAAACTTGTTTCATATTGATCTTTTTCTAACAGTTGAACTTGCTAAAAGATCTCAGCTGGTTCATCATTGAAAATATAGAAGCATTGGACAACTAATTCATCTGAGTATGGTAAACTTCACCAGTGCGCATCCACGACTCCGCCGCACACGACAATCCTACTTAGGACCTTTGGTTTTGCACGCCTATGCTTAAACTTTAGACTACTAAGCAGGCAGTTAACGGTGTCATTTTTAAACCTTAATCAATTTATCATCTCATGAAACCGTTTATCAATTGACTGCATGCAGTACATCCAACATGGACTGAACATTAGTTGTTATGCCTTCTCACCAGAACTTCTAGAGCTGCATCTTATAGCTAGTCAGATGAGAAGACTAAAACTACCAGTACAGTTATTTTAATTATTAGAGAATCATTGAATGTATAAGTTGGTAGTTAATTTATTCTAGTTTTAAAAAAGTATGTTAGTTAAATATTTAAAATTAACCTTTTTAAATGTTAAATTCAATCTTCTGATGTTATGGTCTAGTGTTAGTTTGAATTAAACGTTAGTTTAATTGTTTATTTATATATAGCCGAAAAACATGGTCAATCGAATTCCTACACATCAATTTTATTGTATACCAAAATCAATATATACTGAATAAACTTGGTTTATGTTATTGATTGTTCACCCAAGGTCATGAATCTGTGGAAAGCTATTTCATTTCATTAATCCTAGCTATTCTTATTTGGATTGTATGTGTGTGTGTGTGCATTGCTTACTTCGTTTAGTACATGCCTGGCTTATTTTTTTCTGACTATAAATACTTATTTGAAATCATCAATCAATCATTGTTAGACCACCATTAGAAACCTGAAAGCGCTGAAAAACGGCCGTTTCGTCTTGGTATGAGACTCATCAGCAGTGCGCATCCACAACTCCTGCACCTAACAGGATTCGAATCCGGAGACCTTCGGTATTGTGCGCGAACGCCTAACTATCAGACCACTGAGCCCGTATCTAACGGTGTTAATGTCTAACTCTGATAGATCAACGGATTTTGCGCGACCTACACCCGACAGGTTTGAACTTCATTGTTGGTCAAGTCTTCCCAACTAGAACTCCGAGAATTTCCTCATGAAGCTGATGATGATTTCAAATGTGTAAAAACACAAACCTCCAAAACTCTGCTCCAAAATATAAATACTTAGTCATGTGTTGTCATATTCAATTGGACCAACTTGTCTTTTTTCCCCTTCACTTTTACGTTTCCCTTTCTTATGTCTGTTTGCTATGTTAGTGAATGTGTAAAATGAGTTCACAATCAAAATAAATAAATTAACTTCTTATACACCGTTATGGTGGAAACGAAGTTAGCCAAAATTGTCATATAAGAAAAATAGAATGGGAAAATTTGTTTTATAGCATGTTCATCAATAGTTCATTCAGCGTTGTTCAAATGGGGGCAATTAAATCACAGGCCATGAAACTACTACTTTATTTGATTTATCAAACATAATTTTCAATGAGTAACAAATACCGAGGTTGACACATTGGTTTACTTTAATAACTCTTAAATGCTTATGAAATATTTTTTTTTCAAAAAAAACAAACTTATTACATAAAAATATCATACTGTTGTAGTAAAACATTACTATGACTTTTATTGAAAAAATTCTAACATAAGCAATTTTTTCATGAATCATGAATCAAAAAACGGTTGTGCTAGTTAAGATGAAAGGTTATACAACATATGAGTATTGATTAATTTTTTTTGTGGAATTAACTGTATCAAAGTCACTTTATGCCTATTTAGAAGGATAAGTTTATCAAATAAAAAAAATTAAGGATAAAACTGATTTTGAACTACAGAATTATTTAATATTACAAAACTAATGAACGATTCTTTGGGTTAACATTATGATACTTTTCAAAGGTACACATGAGTGATCATTTATAGATTTAAAAATAAGAAAATAGATCCTTGTATACTGATATATTTACGCCGAGAAATAGAGAAAGATATGAGAAGAATGAAAAAACATTGGACAGAACTGGAGAGGGAAGCCCAGGACAGAGTTGGTTGGAGAAAACTAGTGGGCGGCCTATGCTCCAGTGGGGTAACAGGCTTAGTAAGTAAGTATACTGATATATATATATATATATATATATATATATATATATATATATATATATTAAATTCATTGTCGTTTAATGTAGTGGAATATTTTCTACGTTCAGCTTTAATGAGTTTGAGATATATTGTATATGAATTAATTTCTGAATTCTGAAATTAGCAGAAACTAAGTCAGTCAGGCAGCAATAACGTAGAACTTGGTACATACACACAACAGTTCAAGTTGCTATACTACATTAAAACACAGAGATGCTGTTGTCCATTCAAATACCATAGTAGTAGAGGTAGTAGAAGTATTAGCGGTAATCAAAAAGATTAAAGATCGAAGATATGATCTGGGAAGTATACTTCAGTTAAATAAATTCAAGAATAGAATAAAGGTTATGAGGAATTCAGAAGACTATAGTTTGAGAGAACACAAAGATTGGAAGCTTATGGGATACTGCATATGATTTTGAGCCATGTCATACAAAGTCTCTAACCACCGGTTACAATTACCTCGCAGATGCCAACCTGGAAAATAGCCTACATCTACTAACATGGCTCAGTGCAGTTGTCAGTGACTTCATGGATTTGTGTAATGGTTTAGTCTGGTCGTCCCTAGACTTCTTCCAACAGGAATCTAAGTACTCATCGATCATTTACCTGTGAATAATATATTTTCAAATTCAAAAATAAATAATATTAGATTTTTTATTTCATAAAATCAGTTCCTAATGTAATATACAAATGAACAGAAAATAAGGGTTATGATCATGATAACATTCCTCTTTATTCTATTACGAAAATTAAATGGACTGAATCCATTTGTACACTGGCATTTTGAATCTTCTTATTGCTATTTAAGGCTGTAATTAATTTACCTGTTTGGACATATATGAATCTTATTTCCATTAATTTTTGACTACTTTTAAATAAAGATAGATGGAGGTTTAAAATGGAATCCAGAATGCATGTTTCGTCCCATTTGGGACTTGTCAGATGGATATTTTTGAATCCGAGACTTAACGTTTACTCTGGAACACTAGCTGGGTACTGTTCACTTCGTATGCCATCGCGTTACCCGCTTAGATTCAGAGTTCGGATAGAGTTATGCTCGTCACTTGAAACTATTACGAGTTCACCTTAGTCGATAAACGAGAACGAGACAATGAATCGGTGACACAATAGGCTACTCTGATCCGTTACCCCGATTAGCTGAAGAAAAAGTCTATTTATGACATAAAAAGTGTACACCACAAACACTGAGCAAATACAATAATCTCAAGCACACAAATCGCGTTTATTTATACATCATAGAAACGTTCTTGGAAGAGTCACAAAAATAGCATGCTAAAATTACACATTAACCAACCACAACCAAGGATCTTCCTAGTGGGAAATTCAATCTCAAGGTCAGCTGGTCAGCCCATGAATAAAATCCAAAATTAAGGCCTTCATCAAGTGAGCTCTGTGGATCTTACGTCTCCAACAGATAGCTACCTGCTTGTGTAGTTAGGTCAGTTATATACATATATATATATATATATATATATATATATATATGTTTGGATTTTCAATGTAATGTTTAAAATTCACCTCGTAGTGGTGTTTTGTTCTCTGAGCTGGTTGTTTTGGTTGTGGAGCTCAGAGAACAAAACACCACCACAATCATCCACGTGAGCTACAAGTTTTCTCCACCATCTCAAAATTCACCTCACTGCACAGGTGAGTTACCATCTGAACCCTATATCTAAGTGGGCAACGCAATGGCGTACGTAACGGACAGTACCCAGTTGAAGTCCCGGAGTAAACGTTAACTCTAGGATTCAAGTATATCCATCTAATAAGTTCCAAATGGATTCCAGTGTAAAGCCTCCATCTAATTTCTTCTGATCAAATCGACTGAACTGTACGAAGAATGTCCAATTTTTAAAAAAAATCAATACGACAGACAATGTTATTCACTAAACATTTGATAAACATATAAATTAAAAAATAGAATAAATAAAAAAATTGAATACCATAACCTACACTCACATGCTGGCTCTTTCCTAGGATAAGTTCTTTGTTGATATGAACTGACACTGGCAACACATTGTGTATGATGCATTTTTCATTTGATATGCCAAAAACAACGACCGGAACACCAAAGATAAAGGAAATTAATACAGTAAGAAATACTGACTAGGAAATATATATATATATATATATATATATATATTTATATATAAGCGGGGATCGATGATATGATAGTCATTTGAGTCCACTTACTTGTATTCACGTGCATAGACATATGCAAATATATATATATATATATATATATATATATATATATATATATAATTACAATCATACAAGTAGTACTTAAATTAATTGACATAAATAAACCATGTATTTGTCACACTGTGAGAATCATTCACTAGTCCTCTAGTTTCAGTGCTAACTGACAACACATTAGGTCGTACTAAATTTTTTCACTTATTTTAAAACCAACCGTTTACATTTTCCTCTTAGTTATCAATCATACTTAGTTATACTTAGTTATTTAATCTCTTATTCAAACTTCGTCTCTCTCTCTGTTATTTTCCCAGTTATCATGTTTGATAAAATGATGTGTTTTCTTTTTTTTTTATTTCAATCATGTTTAATCATTTGACAAAAAAATCAAATGATCAGTGTTGCAACTAACTAATTCAGTAAGAATGAAGCTTATGATAAAATAAAACTCATAATCTATGCCTTCAATGATTATTGATTCGCGTGTAATTTTTTTGTTGTTGTTGTTATTGAATACTTGTGATTATTATCATGACAATCTGGGGGTGCTTGTAGTTTTTTGAAGTTGGCAAATGCAATACTATGCATTAGGATTATATATATATATATATATATATACACGCATATATATATGCTTCACATGACATGACTGTTATACACTGATAAATGTTTTTTTCTTTCTACTGATAAATTTACATGAAATAAAATGGAATAAAGTTTTTCTGTTTCAATCACAATGATGAGTTAGTTGTGTTAAATTAAAAATGTTCACTTGTTCGTTTCAATGAATCAATAAAAAATGATAAATTGACAACAGTGTATTTTTTTTTGCCTTGGCATCGATCGATTGACTTTGCATGTGCGGATAACTATTGCATGCATGTCACAACATTCAAAGTAATGTGTTTTTTTTAGAAAAGCAAGCTACTTATAAGTTTTTGTTGGGGATGTTGGATTCCCAAAATTCGCTTGATAAATGCCTTATTTTGGTTTTTACGTTTGCCAGCATGGGCTGGTCAGTTGACCTTGAGATTTTTAATTCGCACCAGGAAAATCCATGGCTGTGATTGGCTTCTGTGTATTTTAGTGTGCTATTTTCTTAACTGTCTAAGGCCGTTTCTATGATGTATAAATAAACGAGAGTTGTATGCTTGATTGTAGTGTGTGATTGCTGGGTGTTTGTAGAATATACTTTGTACGCTTACAAAGCCTTTTTAATTCAGCCTGGGTATTCAAGGTAGCCTACCTGGACGCTGGTAAAAGTCTCGTTCGCGTTTATCGACTAAGGTAAACTCGTAATAGCCTCAAGCATACTAAGTGACGAGCGTAACAGTTTTCAATACAAGTTAGTAGGATATGGCGGACAGACTTAAAATAGAAAATTTTAAAAAAAAGTCACTACACATAGTTCAGTTGTGAATAGAATAATTTCCGACAGGTCTTCAAAAAGATTTTGTGTATATATTTCAATTGTTTCTTTATCCAATATTATGCTCCCGGTTCAAATTTCAAATACAATAATAGATTTATGATTTTTGCAATTTAGTAATATGGAAATCGTTGTTTTCTACATACTGGAATCATGAATGATATATATAGTGTTGTTACACCACCATTAGAAACCTGGAAGCACTCACTGGACGACCTTTTCGTCCTGATATGGGACTCATCAGGATTGCTTACAGTTAAACATTAGCACCGTCTAGATGACAGCTATCTCAGTCTGTGGTCCAGAGGTCAAGTGTTCGCGTGCAAGACCGAAGATACTGGGGTTCAAATCCTGTGAGTAGCAGGAGTCATGGATGCATACTCCTGATGAGTCAGTCCCATAACAAGACAAAACGGTTGTCCAGTGTTTCCAGGCTTCTACTGGTCATATCTAACAATCATTCATTCATGATTCCGATATGTGAAAAACAAAATATTTCATTGTGTTCACCGTAGTTCTTTCTAACTTTAGTAGCCAATTCAAAAATAACTGTTATCTGAGTATATGAAGGTACAAGTAGTTTTGAATATTATAAATAATAATTAACTTGATTGATTGTAAGATCATAGATTGAAATATTTGTATTAATTAAAACTTTTCAGGTAATTAATTATACTGTCAGTCATAAACACATTGTTAAATAATCTTGGCATTAGATACCAATAAGCTAAAAGGTAGTTCATAGAGAGATAAAATTTAAACAGTGGAAATTTTAATAAAATTTTAATAAATTCTATTTTATTAGTCGGAAACTGTTCTCGCTGTGTTGTATATCTAAATGGTTGACGAGATGGCATCCGAAGCGAACAGTACACGGTTGCAGTTTCGAAGTAAAAATTAACTTTGGGGTTCAAGTATATCATCCATCTGACACTCGCGTCCTGAATTCCATTGAAATCCTCCATTCGTTTGCACATCATCCTAAAATATGGAATGTGCTCCTTCTTGTAGCATGTTCTATAAAAAGAACATTTAGATTTAGCTTTAGATAGACAAAGCAGTGAAGCCCACAATAAAAATCATACTGATACACCACAGTGTAATGAAGGGAAAGTTGGTCAAAAATGCTAGATATATAACACCTTTTATTGAGTAATTTGTTTTATCCACTTGACATTTTAATCTTAATTACTTGTGGTATTGTTTGATATAACTCCTTACGAACTTTGTGTACCGAATTCAGTGGGATTAGTTGAAGTTTATGATTTCTGTTTTTATTTTATTAATGGTAACCTTTTGTGAATCAGTTGTTTTTTTTCCCGTATTATTAGACTTTATCACTTGCGTACATCATGTCTAGTGTTGTTTTTTGTTTCTGTATTTATATTAATGACTCAACCAACCATAAGCCATACGCACCACTTGTTATCATTAGAACATGTGGTTAAACTAAATTTGATCTATCAATAACGTTAAGTTTCGAGTAGATAGATTATGGTTTGTAAAGTATTTCTTGAACATTTATGAAGACTAAAAAAAAGATAGTGTAGCGCAAAATTCAAATAATAACTAACATTGTGGTGCGAGCTACTTATAAGTAGTAGTATATGAAGTGAGTGTCAACGTAATGTCTGGCAGCAGAAGATGGGGGAAGATCAAGAAAGGAGGAAGAGTTAGAACACAAAGGAATTTGTATGAAACGCATGAATAGTGACAATGGATTGATGTTTTGCAACAGGAACAGTCCAGTTCGATGGAGGATGAACTGATATTTTGCAAATGAACGATTTACGATATGGTTTTCCGATTTTACTGAGTAACTCTGTAATTTTCGTTCAGTACAATTCGGTTTTCCCACCTGTGTTCTCCTTCACTACAACACTTCCATACAGATCAACAACAATTAAGTAGGAAATCTAACAAAGTTACAAAACATTCAAATACACAATATGAAGCGTACTGTTCAATTAGAGAAAAACCGATTACAACTTGACGAAATTCTCAATCAGTTATATTGAGACACTAGCCATTTTTAGTAATTGGATTTCAAACAAAATGAATATTCGATCACACCTTTTTTAAAGGAGTAAATTTGAGTTTTAAATTAAAACCAAACATATCTATCTAATGTTCACAATTTTTTTTTCATAACGGTTCATCAGCTGAACTCATTCATATACTGATGAAACTTATTCCAAAAACTGAACTAATCTATAGGCCTCGGTCGTGAGATCAAGGTTTATGTATCATCAAGTGAGAAATAATCTTGTTTAATAATAGGACGAACGTGATCTGCTCAATGTTAATTACTTATACTTTATGTCACACAAAAGATCACACAGCAATCTATTGGGAACTAACAGATTCCAACTAAACGGTTATTTTTATGGAGTTTTCATATTATCAATGATTCGATGGTCAATAAAATTAACTGAAGTACACTGTGAAAAGCAGTATGTTAGAAATCAGGTGAATATTTGCTTAGTATTGACCTAAATAAACGAATTATCTATCAGAGACAATTTAAATGATATGACAGTGTGAATGAATTGAGTATCATTTTTTAATACAAAATTAATTCAGTTTAAAAAAATACCACTTTCACTACTGAGTTATAAATAATCCTATTTTTCGTCAAAAGTAAAATTTTTCGCAAAAGCTCCATTGATCATCAATCTGTTTACACTGTCAAATAAATAAGTTTATTCATTTTTATCTATCTATCTATTGGTCATCTAAAAAAAATTCAATGTTTCATATCTGTTTCAACATGTATGATTGTTCAATATTCAGGTGAAATTTTAAACGGTATCTATATACATAAATATTTCCCATTAAAAACGGAGAATAACAAATGAAAGTTCATTTAGTTTATATTGATAACAACTGAAATAAATGACTTTTGTCTACTTTCAATGTAGATTAGATATATTATGATTAGTACTTGAATCCAGGATGCACGTTTCCTCCTATTCAGGACTAGTCAGCTGAATGTACTTGCGTCTAAGAGCTGGTACTCACTCCGGGACTCGAACCCAGTGTCGTTTGATTCAAATACTATCTCATCACTCAACTTACGTACTGAGTCCGGACAGCCATCTACTTGTGTGACAAGTATGAGACTGAATAAATTTTGAAATGCTAACCACATTCTATCTATTCCGAGCAAATTTGTTTTTTAAAAGGCTACATTGAGGCAATCTGTATAGGATGCTCATATGCCCATTAAGACTGATTAAATTTCTGTCGAAATATCTATCAACAACACGATAATCCAAATCATTTTTTTTTCAAATTGAACTTATATCTATTATTCATTAAATAAAAATAAAATGATAATCATAATTTATAGAAATTATTTATAAGTATATATCTACCTTCCTGGAGTACTATGCTGTTGTACTTGATAAGATCGTTGAAATGATGAACTTGTTGTACTTAAAAATTGTTTTGTTTCCAAATTTGGTGATCGTCTTGGTACTGAATGACTTGGTGAAATTAAATTTCGGGAATCATTGAAATTTTCAACACGTTGATGTCTTTCATCGACTAAACTCATTGCACGTCTAAGATTAGCTAGTTCTTCTCTAGCTGATTGTAAATCATTTTCAAGTTTCTTTTCACGTCTATAAGAATCATGATTATTATCAAGTCGAACTGAAACAGCAGATTGTACCTTAATTAGAGAATAGAAGAAAAGATAAAAGTATGAACGTGTTGTTTGAATTTCAACAATAAACTGAATCAATTTGTACATTCCACATATTGTGATGTAATAAATGTGATATAGATCTTTATCATTACTTGAATTAATTCTGAAAACTAAATTACAAGTTTATAAGTTCAAAATTGACAGAAACTTACATTAAATGATAAAATATGTATTTCAGGAATTCCGATAATAGCATATCAAGCATTTCACAGTTGTTGTTTTTTATCTTAATCTCCAGTTTAAATCAATAAGCTACCCAAAGTTTCTTAGAATTTAAAATAAATGCGCAAAAGACAATTGCTGTACAACAAATCACACTACTTACAAGTAGTTCCAGTTGAAATGTCAAATTTAAATGAAAGCCATGTTATCTGAATGCATAGTTTACCTTGTAAACCATAAGTTCACATGAAGGATTAAATATACTTCGTTAAGTAGTGTACAGTTCGAAGTTTGTAAGCATTTCTCATTGGGGTTTTATATTTCAATATATCCTGCATTAAATACATTTATTTGTGTGATCTGAACAACTTTTGAATTGGTGTTTGATGATCAGATACTGACGTAACAAGCACCGTTTATGTTGTTTCTCTGTTAACTTTGCAATAACCAAAGGTATCGTACTTAAAAGGGCAATCTCCACATAATGACAATCTACTGGACTTGAGAGATGTAAGACTGAATAACACCGATATAAAGTGAATGGTATGCAAAAAACTTAGTGTTCTGTAAAAAGTACCTATTCATTTCACAATATTACTTTGGATGAGTAAGAAAAGAATCTAATATTTCTGAATATCTTCGCTTATAATTCCTTTAGAAATTGATTTTGTTTGGATTACAGCTTATTTTGATATATATTATTGCATATGTGCAAAGAATTTACTGACACTATCGCTTGGAATTGGGTTTGTTCAACGTGAAAAAATATTAGATGAACAAAAATACACAGTAACTGTATTCGTATGAATTAGTTTAGTCAATACAAATTTTTTGTACATCTTTTAAAACCAAAGAATAAATAGGTCCTAAACGTTTTTGCGCTAGAAATGTAGATTATGTAGAAACCTGTCTTATCTATATTTCTACCCATCCGGATAGAAAGTGATTGAGTAGTTCATTATTAACTGTAAAATCTCCAAGTTTACAAATTCTATTTAAATTATGGAATGTTTATTTAAAGCCATCTGCTGTGAACGAGAACACAGGTGGGGCAACCGAATTGCACTTAACGAAAATTACAGAGTTACTCAGTAAAATAGGAAAACCATATCGTAAATCGTTAATTTGCAAAATATCAATCCATCATATCGAACTGGACTGTTCCTGTTGCGAAACATCAATCCATTGTCACTATTCATGCGTTTCATACAAATTCCATTGTGTTCTAACTCTTCCTTTCTTGATCTTCCCCCATCTTCTGCTGCCAGACATTACGTTGACACTCACGTCATATACTACTTATAAATAGCTCGCACCACACATCATCCACAATATTCAAGTACTTAGTAACAATTCTCTACGCAAAATACTGAGGATCCGTTGGTCAGACATGATCAGCAACAATTTTCTGTGGAAAAGAACAAACCAGAATCCAGTGGAGGAGGAAATCAAAAAGAAGCGCTTGAAGTGGCTAGGACACACACTGAGGAAAGCAAGCAACTGCATCATAAGACAAGCTTTCACTTGGAACCCTCAAGGTCACAGGAAAAGATAAAGGCCTAGAAACACATTACGTCGAGAAATAGAGAAAAACATCAGAAGAATGATCGAAAATTGGACTAAGCTGGTAAGGGAAGCCTAGGACAGAGAAGGATGCAGAATAATGGTCGGTGACTCATGCTCCGTCGGGGGTAACAGGCGACAGTAAGTAAGTAAGTAAAGAAAATCATAATTATCTAAAATGGGTTCATTATAAATGACAAAACGTTTGCCTTAATATTTCACGATGTACTCACTAGATGACTGAAGTATGGATTGGCTCGGTTAAATAATACCCAGTAGAATGATTTAATATTGTTCTAAATCTTTTAGCATCATACAGAGAATTCTTTCGAACAAAGGTTAATAATCTGAAAGCTGTTTTTTGGTTTAGTAATATCTTGTAAAACTCTACTAGTAAGTAGCGTAAGTCCATTTAACAACAAAGAGATCTAGTGAAGAACTCCTCACACCCATGAATGCAAATATTTGTAGATTTGAAATAATCGAGTTGAATAATGACAAAATCTAAAACCTCATACTCTTTTTGATGTATTTTAATGAAAAAAGATTTTGTCATGTTGAGTTAATTTAAAACAAAAACACAATGATTCATTCGATTGTTTATTTTGGTGTAGTTCAATGTGTCATTTAGATTTTTAAGAAAAATTGCATTTTCATACAAATGCCATACATGAAGAATATGTGTATATTCATGGGAAGGGTTGGAGGAAGTGATGCAATCATATTAGTTGCCTGTATTACGAAATACAATAATAATAATAATATTACTGCTAAGATTACACATTATTTCGGTGAGTTACATTCTGCAACTATAAAATAAGAACTTTGATTATGTATTTTGTCCTCCTTAAATTTCAACTTTGTTTTGACCATTTTCTATTGATTCTTATGTGTTCTATTATGATGACCTCAGTAACAACTATATTAAAAATTCAGGATTATTATTATTAACAACACTTAGCGATTGTATAGAGGTGTGATGACAATCGAATACTGTCGTTTTAGAAGTTTTAAATAATGCAACATAAAGTTCTTGTTCGTTACCTCACAGTAAGCATTAATTTAATTGTCTAATCCCTAGTAGCGATACTTTTTTACTTACTTACGCTTGTTACCCCTAATAGAGCATAAGTCAACGGCCATCATTCTCTAACCATTGGGTTTCACATATTCCAAACACTACCTGGTTGGATTTTTTTCAGTTCTGTAGCAACTTCAATAGTTTATCCGGTTTCTCATGTTGTGCGAACATCCCATGTACCTATGTAAATGGTTGCTCTGGTTGTCACAGAATGGGGATTTTATGAAAGAAGTTACAATATGGTCACTAGTATAAATGGATTACCATTGGGTGCACAATATTTTGATATCAGTTAGTTGAATGCAATGGGTAGAAAATCTGACCAGACCTAAGTTTTGTACTGATTGGTGCTCATCTAATCGTTAGGGAACATACATTTCACACATACTCCTAACATGCATAATCCAAACTCACAGAAGAGTTAATCGATTCTGATCACTATTGAACTTATTTGTCGTAACTAGTGTGATGCTCTTCTTATTCGTAGTTATATTCTTTTTATTCGTTATTCCTGACAAAAAATAACCTCTTTCTCATAATAAGTGAAACTTATGCTGTTCTGGTTACTAGAACACATTATTTGGAAGTGACGAAGCATAGTCACAAAGTAGAAAGGAGAGACCATCATAATCAAGAATGACAACTTGTCGTTTCCCCGATGAGTTCTAGCGAACAATAAAATTGAGGTTTTGAATCACTGGTGAATAGAAGAACAAAGTGTCCTTTGTTAATATTGGTTCAGTTGATAGGAATAAGGTTGTAACTCCAAAGGATATTATTAATTCGTAGTTGTTGATTCAAAGCTTCATAATGCTTCATGGAACATTTTACGAAATGATCGATGACTCAAGCAAAAGTCTAAATTTCTTTTTATAATTTGTATGTTCATGTATCAGAAATCATTAAACTGAACGTAGTGGGACATTTGGTTCGTGTAGTTTCCGTTTACTGTAGATTCAAAAAAGAACTTATCCACAGGATTTCGCTCATGATTGATTTAGTTTTGGTATTCGTCCTGTTTTGAAATCCCTATTTACTGTTCTAGAGACCTAGTTGTCCAGTATTTTGGCTGGAATAATGTCCTTTGCTCTGTATACACTTTTATTCTCAATTAGTTCCTAAGATTTCTTGTTCATTATTCCACTGTACCGAGTCCACCGAAACTAAGAAATGTAACTATTCATCTATTATATGAAAAGCTCATCAAAACTTGCCCAAATCTGAATGACTCTAGTCTCTTCAAACAGCTACTTTTTACTAAAATATGACTCCTAAGCAGTGCGTATCGGGAAATAAGTTTTCGACATATGTTCATGTAATCCTAAATTGTTAAAATTCATCTCATTGCAAAATATCACTTTTCAAAAATCTGTTATAAAGTTTACAAATCCTGCGGTTACATATTTTACAAGTCTGTCTGGCAGTAGATTCATCAAAAATATCACTGATATGAAATTTAGTGTTTAATTTTTTGACATACGAGATATTACCAGATGTAAGAAAAATGATGTGAATTCCCGTTTAAAATAGCCCATGATCTTTGTTTCGTATTCTGACACTATCGTGAATACAGTAATAATATATCTCCTCACTCCCTTAATAAAATGTATCTCGTCTGTAAGTGACCATTTCAGTAAAAAACTATCTCATTTGATTTATATGTCTGAACTCAAGTCAAGTAATAGGAAATGTAGGCTTAAAAATTCCTGTCAACTAGCCTCAATCACTCAGCATTTATCTTACTGTATTCACTTACGAATTGTTTAAATATATCAGTTTAAAGGTGTGATCGAGTCAGTAACATCTACTGAGGTTTATTTTTTAAGTATATAAAAAAGGGTTAGTTACTGAAAAAAAATCATATTCTTCATTGTACCACTATTAGTACAGAGAAACAGTTTAACTCTATAAAGTGCTTGATATTACACATTTGAAATCATCAATCAATGATTGTTAGACCACCATTAGAAACCTGTAAGCATTGGACGGCCGTTTCGTCCTGGTATGGGACACATCAGCAGTGCACATCCACGACTCCTGCACCTCGTAAGATTCGAACCCGGGACCTACGGTATTGTGCTCGAACGCCTAACTATCGGACCACTGGGCCGGCACCTATCGGTGTTAATGTCTAATTCTGATTGATCTAGGGATTTTGCGCGACCTCACCCATTTGTCTTTGGTACTTACTGCCTACACCCGAAAATATGATATTACATTACCGAACATTTCTATAACTCAGTGGGTTATTTTCACTATTAATAAAGAATCCTAAATGCTAAAGTTATTTCTTTACTCGATACTAATTTATTATGAAGAATGGTGTAATTTTCTATTTCGAAGCTGTCTATAAAGTGTATTGGGTTTATTTCGTTCAAGTGAAAGAGAATATTTAGTTGTAATTCCATAACAGAGATGATCAACTAAGCATGAAATGTTCAATTTTTATATAAAGATTTCTTATTAAACTAATTGATAGCTTACTAGACTGAATTCCATGCTAGTTCCAAGTTATTGTGATAGATGATGTTTAAATTTAGAAAAATATTGATTAAAAAAGAACGCACGAAATATTCTTTTTTCAAAAGATTGATTTTCATACTTACATCTGTAGGTCCACAGTCAGGATCAATAGTTAAATGAATTTGATTGAATTTTCGAGGAGCTACAGGTGGACGTTGTTTCAATGTTGTTGTGAATACTGATTGATGCCGTGGAGATGTTGTAAAAGATGAATTAAATTTACTCATACTAGTACTTTTACCAATATTTTCCGTTCGATCAGAATAAAATGTTGAATGTTTCTGATAATTCGAGTGTAAAGAATCATTGAAATTATGTGCATCAGTGTTGTAACCAGTGACGGAGGCTGATCTACTTGGAGTATATCGATTATCTGGATAAACTTCATCATGAAACATTTGTTTCCGTGATGGTTGGGAAGAATAATATGGTTTTGAATTATATTGAGTATTAGAAGGGGGCGGGAGACCGGCAGCCATATTCATACTCGTTAAACGTAACTCTTCCAGCAAACGATCAAGTTCTTGTGTTCCAGCCATGATGTTAAGATATCGTGCTGCTTCAACTAGATCTTCTGTTGGATAGAAGGTTTGTACAGGTTCTAGATAGAGCATAGATTTGATTTTTTTTTAAAAAAAAAGAAATATGTTTTGTTTTTAATCATTGATAGATATTCACTACTCAATTAATTTAATTATTATGAATTGATTTATTCACAAAAAATGTTCATGTATGTACCGAAATGTAATGATTTTCATAACAAGATTAATACAATATACCTGAAAGAGTCAGGTCAATAGTTTTAATCAAAAATGACATAATGTAACATTAAACAGGTGTATTGTACCAGTTAAACCATGATCGGGATTATATTGTTCAAGTTAAATCAGGTAAACTATTAATTAATCGATTTTCCTAGTTTTAAATAAATTGATTATTGAACAGTTAACTTTTCATGAAATCAATATGGTAGACAGTTATGATATGAATAACAGAAAGTAATCAATATTATTTTAAATATGAGCTTATTTTTATTTTATTTCATAAATGCAAAATGTGTTTGTGTTTATTTCACTAGAATCGAATAGAATATGAATAGAATGAATAAAAATCAACTTGATGAATAGTAGTTTTTACACATTTGAAATCATCAATCAATCATTGTTAGACCACCATTAATAAACCTGGAAGCACTGAAAGACGGCCGTTTCCTCCTGGTATGGGACTCATCAGCAGTGCGCATCCACGACTCCTGCACCTCGCAGGATTCGAACTTGGGACCTTCGGTGTTGGCTGCGAATGCCTAACCATCGGACCATTGTTAAAACTCAAAACCAGTGTTATTTAAACCCAACAGTTAACATTCATACGTTCATAACTGTCTAGAATTTATGACAATGAAAACAAATGATCACGTTAAAGATTTTCTTCATTTGAAAAACTGTTTTTGAAATCTCTACCAATGAGTGAAGGACAATATTGGATTGAACATATATGTGAACTTTGGATTATTGATTATTTTAAAATTATCTATTGTCATCTTGTCAAATGTATGCATAAATAATAAGAACAAGTTTTGTGTTATCTATTGCATAGTTTAACTAAGTCATTGTATGTCTACGCTCAGTTAAATATTAGTGATTTTATTAAGTTACGCTTACTATTAATCTTAATTTTGATTTAACAAAAAAAAATAATTTATTAGTATTTATCTAGTCGTTATAATTAACGTATTGCAAATGACCAATCTCTTTTGGCCTATGTGCATCTTGAGCAAATTAACTCGATGCGATCAATTATTTTGTAATTATTATCAGGACTGGACATCAATGGACATCAAGGAAATCGATTGTGCATCTTTTAATCTACTTTAGGTTCGTCAGCACTGGATGGCTGTTTTGTCCTAGCTTAGGACTTATCAGTAGTGCACATCCACGACTCCGGATACTCGCAGGAATCGAATCTTGGACGTTCGGTCATGCGCACAAACGCCTATGCTTTAGGCTACTGAGCCGGTGTCAAATGTTGCTAATGTCTAAGTTCGATTAATCCACAGATTTGCGCAACCTTATCCACTGTCTTCGGTGAACACTGTTTTGAACCGGAACAGGGTTGAACTCCACTGAACTCGCAGAAACTTCCTTGAAGAGCTCAGAGGTCTAGAGGTTAATTGTTCGCGTGTAAGATCGAAGGTCTTGGGTTCGAATCCTGTGAGTAGCTGGAGTCGTGGATGTATGCTGCTAATGAGTTTAATGGCAGGGAAAAACGGCTGTTCCGTAGTTCCCGGTTTCTAATAGTAGTCTAGCACTGATCAATTCATGACTTCAAAGTAACTTAACAATCCCGAAAACCTTATATTGCAAATTATATCAATATTGTAGACAGATAGACGAAATATTGATATAAAGGCCAAATTTCCAGAGTACTTTATAGGATCAAAATATTGGAGAACTTATGCATCTGATAGAGTTCTTATAAGTAATATCGGTTATTCATAGAGGCTGTTTAGTAGGCTGAAAGTTGTATTTATAATAAGTCGAGTTCAATCGACGTTAAAAGTACCAAGCCAACACGAAATCGGTCGATACACAGTGATCAATTAGTTTTAAATATTTCAGTTTTACAGAATGTCTGTCATGCTCCGATTAGCCCAGAGGTTATGCTGCAGACTGTGAAGCTGATTGATGCCAGCTTAATTTCTAGAGAAATCATCGTTTCCTTTCTGAAGGGTACACGAATCCTAGATTCAAGGTTCGCTGTCGATTATTTCCAACTATATAACATGGTCATGAACAACATTAATCAAACCAACGTCTTTTGTTATTGCCGAATAAAAGAGCAAACGAGGAAGACAATGGGTCACAAGAAACGCACTCAATAAAAATCAAGGTACAATGATATAACATGAGCATGATATAGTGTTGGTGATGAAAAAGATTATTTAAGAGAAACAGCTGTGTCAGCTACATAAACATTGATCTGGAATTCTTGAATCATGTTTTACATGCTAACGATTTCTTCACAAAACCAAGAACAAAATACTGAGAAAGCTTTATGTTGCTAGTTAGTTAAATGGGAAAATTTGTTATTGAATCATTATAATAAACGGCTAATTTGATTCGTATGTAAAGTTTACTATTTACATTTAGAAAAGGGCCGTTTAAAATGTGTTGACTTCACTTTTATTAGGTTTCAATTAACCTGTGAATCAAAATTCATCACTTTGGTCCTGTTAGGAATGAAAAGTAAAGGTTCTGTTGTTCAAAATTTAAGTGTTTACATGAAGGTGATTATTATCCAGTCTGTATTATTTTTAGTTTACTCGAGCAATCTCTCAAGCCTTGTATTCATGTAAGTGATATAAAATCGGCATTCAGCTGAACTGTGACCAACGAACACTTTTCTAAGGAGTGTGAATTAATGAAAAAAATGGTTATTTATGTATATCTTATACTAGGTCCTAAGATTTTGTCCATGAGCAATGTTTATCTCATTCATATTGCCTATGTTCCAAGTTACTTAGGCATCATAACTGACGAAAAACTTTCTATGAGCAAGTATTAACTGTCATTACTAAACTAGCTATGAGGATACCATTCCTATGTTTGTCATTAAGAACAGCAACATTATTAATGATTCTTCTATCAAACGAATTCTATATAAAATATACAAATTCAACTTCTAATGTCTTTCGATCTTTATTATCATACTCTCAAAAATGTACTAGTAACTGGTATGAATTTTAAATTCAAAAGGTATCTGTTTACCGAGCTCAACTATCCCAAAGCACATGATATGAATGAATCATGACAGTCAGTAATTGAGACAAGTGAATAAATTAAAACATGATCGATAAAAGCCAATCAGCATTTAGGAACCAGGAAAGCATAACAATAACTAGTAATCAATGATAAATAAATTGAAGAAAATATATTAATCCCACAGGAAGCTCAAAATTATCCAGATAACTCAGTTTTTATGTTTATTAACTATGACAAAATTCAGAATTCAGTAAAGAACATCAGCCACTCTGTTAGGATATTCATCCAATATCCTAAGAGAATCATTGGTTAATTTCTACTGGTCAATTTTATGATCGTCCTAGATATCAATATCATTTACTCCTGTGTTGTTTCTTATTGGTCATCGTGAATGTCAATGTCACTTCAAATGTTGTTTCTTATTGGTCGTCTTAACTGTCCATGTCACAGACTTCGATGATGTTTCCTATTCAACCTAAATGTACAAATACGCATTATCTGTAACGTTTTATGACCAGGACCAGGACTCGGTCCCGGATCCCTAGTCCGGGATCCTGATTCTCTTCCGGACTCGGACCTCGTAATTTCTGAATGCTTGTAGAATACACGTTCTACTTCATATCAAGTCTTCTTCTTTTAATCAATGGGGATTGGGATAATCGGATTGAGTAGCGTGTCGTGCCGCCGTATCCTTGATCCTCGCTCTTGTATTCCGACTAAGGTGAACTCGTAATAGTTCAAGTATATCAAGTTGACGTGTTTACGTGCAGGCGTAACACACTCGAAAAACTCATACCGCTCTCCAAAACAGTATTAACCTATTATCATGAAACTCAGATCCACTGAATTGTGTCGGTCCAATTCATCTAGTTAACATTAGATAATTACCAAACTAATTTCGATTTACATGGACTATTCAGTACAATGAAGATTAAATTTGATTAGGACTTAGAAGTGGGCATTATGACATTCGTTTTCTAATAAGTAGCTAGTTAACTGTCATTACATTAATTTTATTGTCTGCCAAAACAGTCTTGTCAATATCTATCCATCTATCCATCTGTTTGCGCCATACACATGCTAATACTGTCATAATCTAATCTCTGTACTGAATTACATCATCTTTTTTTTCCTGTCATTTGACCTTTAAAAACAAAAATTGGAATTTGAATGATTTCAAATTCTTTTTGTTTTAATTGATTTAAATGTGTGTTCATTGAATATTGAAATAAGTAACACTTATTTGTTTTTTTTTGTATGATTAGTAATTCAGACGATGTCTGAGTGTTATTAATGTAAAATATTCCATTCATATTTTCAGCATAAATAGTAAATATTGATTTTCTGTTTGTAAAAAAAAAATTTTCAATAAAATATTATTGATTAATCGGTTGTTTTTTTTTTGGAAACTCATAACATTCTAATGATAATTTATTGAAAGCAATCAATATAAAGCAACGCATTGTTTAGTTGAAAATCAACATGTTTCGATCATCAGAAAAAAGAAAAAACAATTCACTATGTGACACCTTAATAGATATTCATTCATTCATCAATCAACAACAATCATAGTAGGATGAATGCAACACAATTATCGGATATATATTTCTTTTCATTGTACCTATCTACCTAACCATCTATCTATCTATCTATCTATCAGTACTGAAAAGAATGAATCAGAAATACAATAATTATTCTAAAAACATTTAAACAATCTTTAATAAATAGTTAAAGTTGGGGAATGTTTGCATAAGCTTATTCATTATTTTTTAAAATTTGAAAATTTGCGGGACTATTGATTTTTTTAGCATAGGCGTTACTTTTTTTATAATGAATTAAT